ACTTTTGACTATTAACAATCGCTTCCGGTCAACTGTCATAAGTGCATGGGCTACAATTCACTTGTGTTAAGCGGATTCTCAGGGATGGATTATTTTCTTAAAAATCTTTGTGTTTATGTCAAGAAAGAAAGTCATATACATTTGGAATGGCATGAAGGTGAGTAAATGAGAGAATTTTAATTTTTTTGGGGTGGAATATTCCTGTAAGGACTGATATTGCACTCCATTACATAACATACTCATTCACTGTTTTGTAACTTATACTGTAACAGGAACTGTTGAATGGATCATTGCAGTGTTTAAAACATTATGAATTGTAAATATATTCTGCATATTATGTTCTTGAGCATTTTGTGTAGTAATGTAAATTATGAGAATACTGCGCATTACATTTATACTATGCAGTTAGTGTTTTGTGGATTCTGGTCCTGTCACAACATAATTGCATCCAAGACTTTCACTTTGATACTTGTGTATGCTACAGTGACAATAAAGAATGTACATTTATTTGAATTAATTCATATTTTCATTTACATTCATTAAAACTGTTTTATAAAAGTCACACTTGAAAGAGTTGATGACTGTTAAAATGTATTTCCAATTTTAAATGTTAGATGATAATGTTAACTAAATAAAATAACTAAACAAAATTATCAGCATGATAAAAACAATTGGCTGCAAGAACATTCTTTGTGTGGAATATGTAATAAAATGAGCTTGATTGCCTGGTTGGAGAGAGACTTTCTTGACGTCTGAATATATCACACATATATGATAGTATTTTAAATATAACCGCACAGCTTAATTAGACCCTACAATGCAAAAGAATCATGAGAAATAATAATAATTTTCTCTCGCGTTTGATTCCTCGTGCTCCTAAAAGCTTATGTTGACAGAGTAGTAGCAACAGATAAATAGTGACGTGACATGTGGCCAAGTATGGTGAGCCATACTCTGAATTAGTGCTCTGCATTTATCCCATCCAAAGCGCACACACAGCAGCGAACACACACCCGGAGCAGTGGGCAGCCATTTTTTGCTGCAGCGCCCGGGGAGCAGTTGGGGGTTCGGTGCCTTGCTCAAGGGCACCTCAGTTGTGGTATTGAAGGTGGAAGAGAGCACTGTACATACACTCCCCCCACCTACAATCCCTGCTGGTACGAGACTCGAACCCACAACCTTTGGGTTACAAGTCTGACTCTCTAACCATTAGGCCACGACTTCCCCCATACATACATACAGTTTGAATTCAAAAACAAAACTCCTAACTTTATCACTAAATTGGATGCCGCTAACAGACGTTCACATCCACACACTGGCAAGGCAACATTGACGCCTTCACTTACAAGTCAAGAAGCTGTCAATCAAAAACTCAGTAGCCAATGAGAACACACCATTGCTAGCCCCACCCCCACGAGAGATTTGTGCCAGAATGGCGAACAAAAACTTCAGAAGCGTAAACGAAAACTCTGGAAGCGCATTTGTAAGTACATATCAGCGAATGAAAGCGGAGAAACCGGTTGCAAAACATGTAGTGTATTAAAAACAAAGTCAAAGATTCTGCCTGCAATTTATTTATTTTTTTCAGTTTCAAATACATTTTATTCAGTTTCAATTTATATTTTCATAAGTATCTAGAAAAATTACATTCATTTTAATTGGCACAAAGGTAACCCCATAGATCAACAAGCCCCGCGCTATCACGCAGTGGTGCAGTCAGTCAGTGAGCACCGTAACCGATGACGTCAAATCTTGCGGGATTCTATAAATAAACTACGCAAAACCCCACTATTCGGACAAATAAACAATGAAAAGAGGATACAAAATGTAATACCTTGGAAAATGGCATTTAAGACTTTTTAATACTTAAGGGCCTTAATTTTATCTAAATTGATTTATCAACTTTTAATACTTTTTAAGAACCCGTGGACACCCTGCCATTGAACGCAGATGAGCCAATGGTTGAGTATCAGTTGCACAGGGACCGGAACTCGGACATCTTTAGATTTCAGCACCATAGAGAAACAATGGAAGATCCGAAGCTCTAATTGGTTTGATGGTGTTTAAGCTGCAAAAATGGTAAAACTATGTGCCTGAGGTTCTTGTAACACTGATTCCAGGTATCCTGAGAGGATGGTACCAATTCTGTGGCAGACTAGTACATGATTGGTCATCTGTGGTATGCAGCAGGTTCACATGGTATATTAATCCAATGATGTGGGTGCAGTAATCTGGTTCCCTAAGGATCCAACCCCAATCCCAACGAAGATGAACATTTATTTTCTGGTTGTCATACCCTCATTAAGTTACAATTAAAGTTAGTGAGTCCATGCTAACGTACAAACCTAAATAGCTAACTGTTCTCACATCATGTACAGTGTAGGTCAAAAACACATAGATGAAGGTCTACATTTCAGTGCCTCTCCATATTAAACTGGATCAATATAAATTAATTTAATCTTACCCTGCAGTGCATGAACAGCGTTAATCCTGGATGTGTGACGACCATAACATAAGGCTTCTCCCACTTGCATTGTGATTTGTAAACCCTCACTTCCAAATTAATCTTGTTACCCACCATATTTATTTTAAAATCTTTTATATATCCCCCCCCCCCCCATGGCATATTTAATTCCCACTTGAATGCTCCTCGACGAGTTTATCAAAAACATCTTGGGACAAGGTTTTCACACTGACAGCTGTCATTGTAAGACAGTTAGCAACTGTTTGTTTGTCCAAGTTAGCAACAGTAACTAAGGGGGGTGGGGCTTACCGATACGTCAATTGCTGTGCTTGTTGGATCCAGAGTGGCATCAAAGCAAATGTTAACTGCCATAACTAAACAAATGCTCATGTTCTGCAAATGTCAGCTAAAATCTATGATGTTCCGGTAAGAATGTCTGGAAACCAAAACGCTAAGAAAGATGGCACTTGTTATGGTCCAATTATGACTGTAGTGGGGACAAAATAGAATCTTTGATCTTTGTGAACATGGAGTACCAGCAAACAACAAAATCACTGAGAGCTTCCTTATGTACCAAAGACAGATAAATGTGACCTTCAAAACAAACTAAAAAAAAAAAACTTGCTTAAACAGCAGAATGGAGCGTTTTCCATCTGTCATAAAACAATGCAATTGCTGACAAAAGACACGTCATCAAGAAAACAGCTGGGGAAAACAGAGTTGAAAGTACATTAGAGGCCTTTGCTATTTGGGGAGTGATGGCAGTGGAAAATTGGAAATGTGCTTGACAATAAACAACATGCACCATAGCTACACCAGAAAATATCTGAAAAACAATGTAAAAAATTTGCAACATACAAAATTTACTAAAATGCACATTCATTTTTAATTATCTTATTCATTTTGCATGTTATTCTGACGTTAAAAAGGCTGCCATCATAATCATTAATCACATTTTTAAAAACTAGTTCCTCTGAAAGATCCTTATCCATTGACGTCACTTGGGCTGTGTGCTACTGGGTAGCGTTAACCGAATACCAAAAAGCAAACCGACATTCCTTTTTGCTCTGCTTTGATATGTAATGCCCACTTTTCACAATCCAATCTATTGCCAGTGGATAACATTTAAGTCCTGTCTTTCTGAATTACACATTCTAGAAGTAAAAGGAGTTGTGAACAACAATTCACATTAACTATAAGTGGAAGAGGAGACAAAAATGGCAGTAATCTCATCAGACTTAAGGGCCCTGCTAAACCATAATCATCATGCTCATTACAACTGATGTCATGATAACATTAGAAATACAAAAAAATAAACATAAATAAATGCACATATACATGCATGCAAATTAATGTCTAATAAAGTAAAAACAAACCACTCACACATACTAAATGTGCTCACCTGTAATGTCACTTTCGAAAAGGTGTGATCCACAAGTAAAAATTATTATTCCAAATCAACCTAACAATCTGGCTTGCCATATTAGAAACCTCGTGGATGATGGTGAGCATTTACATGAAGCTACTAAAAAGGGAAGCTCTCAGAGGCCATAAACACTGGTCAAGGACGTTTACGTTGCCTGTCCCACGCATCATGAGAAAGACGGATGTGTTGCGCGCTGGGTTGCCATCAATGTCCAGTTCTCGCGTGGGCGTGCTGCTGGACGCGTTCCACAAACCTCTCACGAGGAGCTTTGAAGTTAAACCAGAACGGGCTTGATTTTAGTCATAATAAATGTTTGTGATTCTTATTTGGACGGCTTTTGGCAGTCATTCAGACTTCTGCCCATGCACCGAATAAGTTATTTCCGTGGCTTTTCTGGTTTATAATACTATAATGTCCGAGAGAACAACCTATATTCGACATTACACGATCATTCGGCTCCGCATTGGATGGACTAAAGTGATAGTAGGTGTAAAGGTGACAGAGTAGACCAGTCAGGGATTCGTGTTGAAATTCGGGGTTCCGTTGCTTTTATATTTGGTCTGTCCAGTGATGACCACCTCCAAAATCACTATTTCACATTTATATTAGCAGTGTGTGTGTGTGTGTGGAGGGTGGGGTCGGGGGTGGGGGGGGGGGGGGGGTTAACTTATAGCCCGTGACTAATTTAATGCAATTTATTTTCAATGTAATTTAATTTACGCGTAACTTACTGTATGCCCTGTCCATTTACAACACAGGATATGCCCGACTGAGTTTGTTAAAATTGAATTGCAAACGGACCATCAATAAAATACCATTTTAAGCAAATATTAAGCAAAATACATTATTACTTAAATTATTCGAAGTAATAAAAAAGAACAGTAATTAACATAAAATAAAGTGGGTCGTTGTAGGCACCAAAAATAAGTGATTTTTATACAATCAAAAACTGGATTTATACCGAATTCTGAGCCTTCCGAAAGATTTGAGAAAAAAAAAAATTATATATATATATATATATATATATATATAGTATTTTAATAATAGGGACAAATGAATATAATAGAATATAAAGCACTTATTGTCAAAAGAATCAATGTGCAATCTTACCTGAAGTGCAAACGATGAGATTGGCTTGAAGGATAATAAATATTTCCCAGATTATATCCATGTTTTGTCTTCATTCCAAGTCCATTGCGCTCAGAAAACGGGGATCAGTTGCAGATAGAGTCCACCCAGTCTCTTACCCACTGGACACCTTCCACAAGATCCTCTCCAAATCACACACATAGCACATTTATCTCGAGCACATAACGCCACATTTCAAACAGGCTGAAATCCAAACAAGACTATGTTCCGAATTAAAGGTGGATCTGGACTGATATCCTCAGTGCCAACACTTTAAGAAATGTTTCGTTGCGTCCCACAAGCCTCCATAAAACGACTTAAGCGTTCTTTCCCGTTCCAGAACCGCTTCTGTTATGCCACGAAGATGTTGGACTCCGTTGATCTGACCCTGCGAAAGGAGAGAGTACAACTGTGATTTGACGTGTCCTCGCGGTGGGCACGGTCGGAGCTCCTCGCGACAGTAACAGTTTTAACTCAGCCAGGTTTAACGGGCAAGCCACGGGACCGCGCACTTGCTGTAAGGGGGCGTGCTTCCCTCGTTCACGACATGCCGTTACACTTAACAGAACACACGAGCACTGATTCATGTTTCCACCTGCTTCCATAAAGTCTCATTAATGCAAGGAAAGTTGTAAATATTTAACCAATGGTTTTTAAAACACTTACGGTTTTTGACCGCTCCTGTGACAGTACAAAGTCTCTTTACAAACAAGTTTAACGGTGAGTTATGAAATACCGCAGCAGAAACGTCAGTAAACACACCACAATAACACTGGAGGTAAGATAGTTTGCGCTTACCTGTTACTTTTGATATCTTGCGATAGTTCAAAAGACTAAAACAACAACAAACAAACCCCAATCCAGTGATTTATGAAAGAAACAGCAATTCAGATGTCCTGTTCCACGAGCTAAAAGACTGTACAGTACACCAGCCTCTAATGCGCTGCGGGCACGCGCACCACTAAAACAGAGTGCGCGCTCCTGCTATTAATTGCGTGATCACGTTACCTAGGCACAGGTGGATAGAGCGCTGGCGCACAGCAGAGAGAGAGAGAGAGAGAGAGAGAGAGAGAGAGAGAGAGAGAGAGAGAGAG